GTGTAACATTTCTCTCCAGCATTAGCGGTCAATGGCAGGCTGGCAGGCCGGGTGTAACATTCTCTCCAGCATTACTGGTCAATGGCAGGCTCAGGGTGTAACATTCTCTCCAGCATTACTGGTCAATGGCAGGCTCCAGGGTGTAACATTCTCTCCAGCATTACTGGTCAATGGCAGGCAGGCTCAGGGTGTAACATTCTCTCTCCAGCATTACTGGTCAATGGCAGGCTCCGGGTGTAACATTCTCTCCAGCATTACTGGTCAATGGCAGGCTCCGGGTGTAACATTCTCTCCAGCATCAGTGGTCAGTGGCAGGCTCCGGGTGTAACATCTCTCTCCAGCATTACTGGTGAATGGCAGGCTCAGGGTGTAACATTCTCTCCAGCATGGTACTGGTCAATGGCAGGCTCCGGGTGTAACATTCTCTCCAGCATTACTGGTCAATGGCAGGCTCAGGGTGTAACATTCTCTCCAGCATGGTCAATGGCTCAGGGGTCAATGGCAGGCTCAGGGTGTAACATTCTCTCCAGCATTACTGGTCAATGGCAGGCTCAGGGTGTAACATTCTCTCCAGCATTAGCGGTCAATGGCAGGCACAGGGTGTAACATTCTCTCCAGCATCAGTGGTCAATGGCAGGCACAGGGTGTAACATTCTCTCCAGTATCAGTGGTCAGTGGCAGGCTTAGGGGTGTGTAACATTCTCTCCAGTATCAGTGGTCAATGGCAGGCTCAGGGTGTAACATTCTCTCCAGCATTACTGGTCAATGGCAGGCACAGGGTGTAACATTCTCTCCAGCATTAGCTCAGGGGTCAATGGCAGGCTCAGGGTGTAACATTCTCTGGCAGCAGCATTCTTACTGGTCAATGGCAGGCTCAGGGTGTAACATTCTCTCCAGCTCCAGCATTAGCTGGTCAATGGCAGGCTCAGGGTGTAACATTCTCTCCAGCATCAGGGTGGTCAGTGGCAGGCTCAGGGTGTAACATTCTCTCCAGCATTACTGGTCAATGGCAGGCTCAGGGTGTAACATTCTCTCCAGCATTAGTGGTCAATGGCAGGCTCAGGGTGTAACATTCTCTCCAGCATCAGTGGTCAGTGGCAGGCTCAGGGTGTAACATTCTCTCCAGCATCAGTGGTCAGTGGCAGGCTCAGGGTGTAACATTCTCTCCAGCATTACTGGTCAATGGCAGGCACAGGGTGTAACATTCTCTCCAGCATCAGTGGTCAGTGGCAGGCTCAGGGTGTAACATTCTCTCCAGTCATCAGTGGTCAGTGGCAGGCTCAGGGTGTAACATTCTCTCCAGCATCAGTGGTCAGTGGCAGGCTCAGGGTGTAACATTCATTCTCTCCAGCATCAGTGGTCAGTGGCAGGCTCAGGGTGTAACATTCTCTCCAGCATTCTCTCAGTGGTCAGGGTGGCAGGCTGGCAGGGTGTAACATTCTCTCCAGCATCAGTGGTCAGTGGTGGCAGGCTCAGGGTGTAACATTCTCTCCAGTGTCAGTGGTCAGTGGCAGGCTCCGGGTGTAACATTCTCTCCAGCATTACTGGTCAATGGCAGGCACAGGGTGTAACATTCTCTCCAGCATCAGTGGTCAGTGGCAGGCTCAGGGTCAGTGGCAGGCTCAGGGTGGTAACATTCTCTCCAGCATCAGTGGTCAGTGGCAGGCACAGGATATAATACAACCCCCACCATTAGTGTAGGTGTTCAGTGTACTTACTTTAGCAATCAGTCCTGTGTTGCTACTTCTCCCCCCTTTGGCTGAGATTGCACTTCTGCTGTCAGGTGGAGATCACTACAGCCAATAGTTTATGCTTTTTGCAGGGTTTTAGGTGTTCTAGTAGCCACCCACACTGCTGTCATTCCTCAAATTGCCAATAGTTGCACCATGACACCCTACATAAATCGAGTAAAAATGAACATTGTCCAGAATGCAGCAGGGCAGCTGCTCGGCACAGGACCCAGAAGCTGGTGGAGATCACTGTGGTAGCAAGTGGTAGTGGTGCCTACATCACTGATTTCCAGCTTCCATGAGAATTCCAAAGGCATGATATGTGCGCAGATACATCAGTTCAAGGTGGACCAATGTACAGTAAGTATGTATAAAATATCCATCCCTGGAATTCTTCTTTACACTATAGCCCTTAAGAATGGTTTGGTCAAAGAAAAAGAAAAAAAAAGTAACAGAACAGTACATGAAGATAACAGGCAGAATAGGCTAAATGTGAAAGACAAGGCCTGTGTTTTGCTACATTTATTATTGCAAGCACTTATATAGTGCCATGAATTTACTCAGCGCTTTTACATTCAGTATATTGTACATTCACATCATTCCCCACCCCCTAGGAGCGTACAATCCGAGGTCCCTAACTCATACAAATACAAGACCAATACAGACAGGAGTCAATTAACCTACAAGCATGTCTTTGGAGTGTGGAAGGATACCCACTCAGGAACAAGGAGACATGCAAACTCCAGGCAGGTGGTGCATTGGTTGGGATTCGAACCAACAACCCGAGTACTGCCAGGCGGGTAAGAAGCACTGGTGTAAATGTAGAGACAAAAGCTAGTGGGAACAGTTTGAAATGCTGAGACAAAACCACAGAAAGCTCTCTACCAGTACAATTAGAGCTTCAGTTATTTTAGGATTTGGTGGGAGTCAATTAATTTTTTGGCAAAGGGAAGGAGAAGGAGGTGAGGTGTCCGAAGATGGAAATGTTGGCAGCAGCAACAGTGAGAATAAAAGGGAAATGTGTTTGGTTCTTCCTTTGTTAAATATATGCTATATTGCCAAAAGTATTGGAACGCCAGCCTTTCCACACACATGACCTTTAATGTCCTCCCAGTCTTAGTCCGTAGGGTTCAATATTGAGTTGGCCCCGCCCTTTCCACACACATGACCTTTAATGGCCTCCCAGTCTTAGTTCGTAAGGTTCAATATTGAGTTGGCCCCACCCTTTCCACACACATGACCTTTAATGGCCTTCCAGTCTTAGTCCATAGGGTTCAATATTGAGTTAGCCCCGCCCTTTCCACACACATGACCTTTAATGGCCCCCCAGTCTTAGTCTGTAGGGTTCAATATTGAGTTGGCCCCACCCTTTGCAGCTATAACAGCGTCAACTCTTCTGGGAAGGCCGTCCACAAGGTTTAGGAGGGTGTCTATGGGAAGGTTGGACCATTCTTCCAGAAGCACATTTGTCAGGTCAAGCACTGAAGTCGGGGGAGGAGGCCTGGCTCACAGTCTCCGCTCTAATTCATCCCAAAGGTGTTCTATGGGGTTGAGGTCAGGACTCTGTGCAGGACAGTCAAGTTCCTCCACCCCAAACTGGCTCCTCCATGTCTTTATGGACCTTGCTTTGTGCACTGGTGGGCAGTCATGTTGGAACAGGAAGGGGCCATCCCCAAACTCTTCCCACAAAGTTGGGAGCATGAAATTGTCCAAAATGTCACCTTAAGAGTTCCCTTCAGTGGAACTAGGGGGCCAAACCCAACCGCTGAAGAACAACCCCACACCATAATCCCCCTCAACCAAACTTTACACTTGGCACAATGCAGTCAGGCAAGTACTGTACTCCTGGCAACAGCCAAACCCAGACACATCCATTGGATTGCCAGACAGAGAAGCGTGATTGGTCACTTCAGAAAACACCTCTCCTCTGCTCTAGAGTCCAGTGGTGGCGTGCTTTACACCACGGCATCTGATGCTTTGCATTGCACTTGGTGATGGAAGGCTTGGATGCAGCTGCTCGGTCATGGAAACCCATTCCGTGAAGCTCTCTATGCACTGTTGTTGGGCTCATCTGAAGGCCACACCAAGTTTGGAGGTCTTTAGCTATTGACTCTGCAGACAGTTGGGGACTTCTGCGCACTGTGCGCTTCAAGATGTATTCTGCTACCAGGGGTGGACTGACAACTCATGGGGTCCCCGGGCAATAGGGGATCATGGTGCCCCTGTGTCCTTGCCCAAACTCAAAAAAGCCTATGAAAAAGGTACCAGGGGAACCTCATAGGGCCCCCTACTGACCCTGGGCCCTCAGGCAGTGCCGAGTTTCCAAATGGTCAGTCCACCCCTGTCTGCTACATTTCTTTGGTGAAAATAACCCAAATCATTGTTTAATATTTAGTCTGTAGGAAATTTATAGAGTTCACAAACTATGGGTATTGTCTTGGACTACTCTTTTGGGTATTGTCTTGGATTCCCTGGCTATGGAATGTCGGTTGCCAGAGGATAAGTTAGACGTCCGTAAGGCGGAAATTCATGGGACCATTGGGAAACATAAGTTGCAGTCATTGTTGGGTAAGTTAAATTTTGCTTGCCACATCATGCCTATGGGCAGAGTGTTTTGCTGATGGCTGTCTGTGGCTACGGCTGGGGTCTGCTCGCCTACCCATTTTGTACAGTTGATGGAGGAATACTGTGAGGATTTGGGGGTGTGGCCCAGTTTCCTTACCTCGTTCAATGGCAGCGCTCTGTGGATGCCTGGACCCATTAGCAATTTCGATTTGGAGCTGATTATGGATGCTGTGGGCTCCGCGGGTTATGGAGCCTTCTTCAGTGTTTGTTGGAGCGCGGCTCCATGGCCAGGGCAGTGGGTGACGGCAGGGTTCCTTAGGAATTTGGTTGGAGCTTTTCCCATGGTTCTGGCAATAGAATTATGGGGCAACGCCTTCAGGAACTTGAAGGTGCACTTCCATTGTGATAACCTGGGTGTCAGGGATCGCGGCTCCGTGGTCCACGATCGCGGCTCTGTCCCCCGCGCATGCGCATTGGCGGCAGATCGCGCCGGGACACAGGCACTAGGTCCCGGCGAGCCGCGGCTGACAGGACGCCGCGCATGCGCAGTAGGAGCCGCGGGCGCACCTCAGGCGTCCAATGACAGCCGGGGGCGCGTCCTAGCCGGCCAATGACAGTGCAGGGCGCACTATTTAAAGATGCCCTGCACTGTCACAGATTGCCGCAAGGTCTATCTGTGATCCTGAGTTCCTGCACCCGTCTAATGACCCTGTTTGACCCTGACTACGCTGCCTGCCCCTGTGATTGACCCGGATTGCCCTGACTATTCTGCCTGCTCCTGTGATTGACCCGGATTGCCCTGACTATTCTGCCTGCTCCTGTGATTGACCCGGATTGCCCTGACTATTCTGCCTGCTCCTGTGATTGACCCGGATTGTCCTGACTATTCTGCCTGCTCCTGTGATTGACCCGGATTGTCGTGACCTGGCCCGGGACTGTTTCAAGTCCATCCCCACCATCAGGGGCCCTGGTGAAAGCACAGCCCAGGCTTAGACCCCACGCTCTGAGTAGGTCTGTCAGTTGGCAGCCTGAGGCACCACCTGGCGGATCATAACACTGGGTGTGGTGCAGGTTATTAACTGGATTTCGGCAGCCTCAGGGCCAGTTGTGCTGCTTTTGGGGCATTTAGTTTTGCGATGTTTACAGTTGAACATTTTTCTGTATGCTGTGAATTTACTGGGGGTGGACGACCATGTGGCTGATGCTTTGTCTCTCTTTCAGTGGGACAGGTTCCACGAGTTGGCACCAGAAGCGGAGCAACACGGGATTCCTTGTCCTGACTGGTTGTGGAGCATTGCCTGCGAATTGCGGTGGGGTGGATTTGGCATTCCATGAGTGCGGTTACTTGGTCAGCCTACTCTAAGGTATGGGGGGAATGGGTGGATTTTTTGCTGCACATGGGGATTGATCCAGAGGGCCCCAAGGTGCAGTATGCCATGCTTTCCTTTGTTACTCTGAGTTTTGATAGGGGGGCTCTGCTTCAGTTTTGGACCACACATTAGCTGGTTTAGCCTTTTTCTTTAAGCTGCAGGGCTGTAGAGATTACACTAAGGATTTCTGGGTGCGGCAGGTGTTGAAGGAGTACTGCAAGGTTAGCAGGCACGTTGATGGCCAGTGCCCTGTTTCCTTTTCCATGTTAGGTAATCTCTTTGTTCATCTTGGTTCGGTGTGTTCTTCTGGTTATGAGTGCTCCTTGTTTCAGGCAGTGTTCGCTCTTGCTTTTTTGGGGCATTGCGAGTGGGTGATCTCATTAGCCCGTCAACGTGGGTGTCAGGGGGGTTGGGTCAATGAAGTGTCCTGTCTGCCTGACTGAGCCTGTGGATACGTAGGTGAAAAACTGACCAGCCCGGCAGGGGAGCACGGATTGCATTTTTTCGTATTTGGGGTTTTCCCATTTGTCCGGTTACTGCAGTGTCGAGTTTCATGGCCATTCGCCTGTGGTTGGGTTGGTCATTTCTCTTCCATTCTGATGGTTTTACGGTTCAGTTCACTTCGGTGTTTCAAAAATGTGTGGAGGCCATGGGTCTCAATCACTGGCGCTATACCTCTCACTCCTTTCGCCTTGGGAAGGCCACAGAGGATGCCAGGTGGGTTTTGGACGAGGACTTGGTTCGGTGTCTTGGGCCCTGGGAATCAGACAGGTTTAGATTTTACATTTGCCCTCATTTTTTAAGGGTGTGAGGTTAGTTGGGGGGGTGTCTGTTTGTCTGTGGCTCCTTGTGCTAGGATTTTTTGTTTGTTACATGTTTTTTGCTTTGTTTCTTTTCTTTCAGATGGCGCAGTCTGCCTCGTTTGGATCCTGGGTCATTTTATGTGTTTTGGGGGGTGAAGCGGGCAGATTTTAGGCCCAATGGTAGACATCTGGGCATCCCGCGGCAGGTGGAGCACATCCATTGGATTGGGGTGCCTGGTATGATGTGGAGCAGGTGGTGCCAGAAGTGCACCGCTTTGTTTGGTTGGACCGACCCCCCCCATATCTTGCTGTTACAAGTGGATGGGAATGACCTGGGTGCCAGATCCATGTGCGAGCTTATCTGCTATGTGAAGTTTGATTTTGTGCGCCTTTGGTCTGCTTTTCCGGATATGATCATGGTGTGGTCTGATGTCATTGGTAGGATGTCATGGTGTTTGGCCAGGTTGGGGGATAAGATTAACAATGCGCATATTAAGGTAAATAAGGAGATGGGATGGATTGTTGCTCGTAACTAGGGATTAGTGATTCGCCATTGGGAGTTGGAGGTGGATATGTGGCGGTATCTTCAAGGTGATGGTGTGCACCTCCATGCCATGGGTATTGATATGTGGTCCCTAGGGATGTAGGATATAATTCAGTGAGCGTTTCTGGTGTGGAGGGGCACACAAGGGTAAGGTATTACCCTTATGCAATGTGGCTGGTTGTTGGAGGAGGAAAGAATTCTGTTTGGAGAAATATTCTGGACCCATCAGTGGTATGGGGACCTCGGTACATTCCGGTTAACAAGGGGTTAACTCGGAATAGGTAAAATGATGTCACTGCGGATAAGTAGGGTTATATCTGAGCCAGTGTGCTTTGGCTGGGATAAGTAGGATTGTCCCCGAGGCGGTGGGTTGCGGCTGGGGGTCTAAGTTTAAGGAAAGTTTTCCCGCTGAAGTTAAGTCAGGTTTATTGCCCTCAAATGACCAACACATTTTTCCTAAGTTTCTATTTTGGAATGTTATGTTATTTATGTTGAAATAATTTATTGATTAATAAAAGGTTGCTATGGCCACTTGACTTAAAAATGTGGTTTGTGTAGTTTGTACATCTGAGTCAATGGAGGGGTGTGGCCTAGCAGGCTTGGTTAGGTTGGAAGGCATATATTCTACCCTTGTCATGGCACATAATTGTGAAGTGAAAGGAAAATCAGAAATGTTTTTCACCATTTTTTACAAATAAATATCTGAAAATTGTGGTGGCATTTGTATTCAGTCCCCTTTACTCTGATACCCTGAACTAAAATCTATTCCACCTGTGTGTAATGTATTATCAGTATAAATACAGCTGTTCTGTGAAGCCCTCAGAGGTTTGTTAGAGAACATTAGTGAACAAACAGCAACATGAAGGCCGAGGAACACACCAGACAGGTCAGGGATAAAGTTGTGGAGGTTTAAAGAAGGGTTAGGTTATAAAAAATATCCCAATCTGTGAACGTCTCATGGAGCAGTGTTCAGTCCATCATTCAAAAATTAAAAGCGTACGGCACAACTGCAAACCTACCAAGACATGGCTGTCCACCTAAACTGACAGGCCAGGCAAGGAGAACATTCATCAGAGAAGCAGCCAGGAGGCTCATGGTAACTCTGGAGGAGCTGCAGAGATCCACAGCTCAGGTGAGATTTTTGGCCTAAAAGCAAAACGCTATGTATGGTGGACAACTTACACTGCACATCTGTCAAGGTCCTACCTTTTCCCAGAGGTTATGCTGCTCCATGTGCTGGCATCCATCTTGGGTTTCTGCAAAGCACGGTGGGAGTCTTTTATGCCTTCAGGCCTCTGCGGTTCATCCCCCAGAGGGCTGTGGTTGATCACATATAAGCCTGTTGTCCGCACGTGCTCTGTGCATTCGTGTCTTGTATGTTTGTGTTGCAACAAGCTCTGTTTATACTCTCGTGACTCTCCTGGAAACTGACTCGGCTTTTGACTAGACTATTCTCTGCGTTATCCATTTATCTGATCTCCCGTTGCTGAACCCGGCCTGTGACCTGTTATTCTTGTATACCGTCCTGTACTGTCTGTCCCGTTGTTATCGACCCGGCCTGCCCGACTACGCTATTGTCTTATCTGGTTCCTACCAGCTACACGCCATTGGCGGCAGCCATTACCGCAGCTGGGGTGTCTGGGGTGCCACGACCTGGTCCCTGGCTGTGTCAAGTCTATCCCCACCATCAGGGGCCCTGGTGAACGGCAGCCTGGGACTTAGACTCCGCGACCTGAGGGACTCCGGTCTGTGGGTGGTAGTTGTCGTCAGTCGGTGCGTGACCCTGCCATTAGGCATGCCTGTCCGTTCCACAGCTCCTGCCCTGACATTACATGAATGCCATGAATCTTGATGGTGCAGGTACGCCTTCGCTTCCCATGTTAGTCGCCAGACTTGATCAACAGGATCTCCTGTTGGATCAGTTCACTGAGGCGTTGCAAACTCTGCTTGCACGCACCGCGCACCTTACTCCTCTTGCTATTAGGCCGGTTGTCACTCCGGTGGTCGCTCCCGCTGCTGCTCCGGTTGTTGCGCCTCCTTCACTCAAGGAATGCCTGCGGAGGCCTCCCAACCAACTGGCGACTGCATTTTCTGTCCCACCCATTCCTCCCTCTCCTCCCACGCCTCCTGGGGATGGCTTGTCTGGTGGTGAGCCCATGCAGCTGGGGTTTGCTCGCCTTTCCAAGGGAGAGCATGCCGCTCGGCGCTGGGAGGGTCGCTGCCTGTACTGTGGCCTTGGTGGGCACTTTCGGCAGTCCTGTCCGGTCCGTCCGGGAAACGCTCGCACCGGAGATCCTGTCGGGGACAGATCTTGGGTGGAGTTTCCTTGTCCCCGGCGTTCCACAAAGATAAACTACTGATCACCGTTGTCCTCTCTTGGGCGGAGGGCTCGGTGACGGCCCAGGCATTGGTAGACTCTGGGGCCAGCGGGTTGTTTGTGGACAGCTTGTTTGCTGCCCAGCACTCCATTCCCCTGCAGGCTTGAGTTACCCCATTGGTTCTCGAGGCGATAGATGGCAGGCCCCTGCAATCGCCGCAGGTTACCCACGAGACTCTGCCGGTTGAAGTAGCTATTGGGGCTGTTCACAGGGATTTGGCCTGTTTTCAGGTTATTTCTTCCCCGCACTATTCTGTGGTTTTGGGGTATCCCTGGCTCCAGAGGCACAATCCAACCTTTAATTGGCGAACGGCTGAGATTCTCTCGTGGTCTCCACAGTGTGGGGCCGGGTGCATCCGTGGGCCGGTTAAGGTGTTGTGTGCCTCCTCGGACTCTGCGTTGCCCACCGACTAGGGGGAGTACCTGGACGTGTTTGACAAAGTGCGCGCTGGTGCCTTACCTCCCCATCGTTCTTACCGCCATACCCTTGCAACCCGGTGCCACTTCTCCATGTTGCAGGGTGTATCCTCTTTCGGTTGTGGAGAATCAGGCCATGGAGGAGTACGTTGCGGATGCACTTTCCCGGGGGCACATTCGTAAGTCTACTTCCCCTGCAGGAGTGGGCTTTTTCTTCGTAAAGAAGAAGGGTGGTGAATTGAGGCCTTGCATCGATTATAAGGGTCTCAATCGTATCACCATCAAGAATGCCTACCCTATCCCGTTGATTACCGAGTTGTTCGACCGCCTCAAGGGAGTCACGGTCTTTACCAAACTCGACCTTAGGGCGGCGTACAACCTTGTACGGATCAAGCAGGGGGACTAGTGGAAGACCGCGTTTAACACCAGAACCGGTCACTATGAATCCCTGGTGATGCCCTTCGGGTTGTGTAACGCGCCCGCGGTCTTTCAGGTGTTCATAAATGATGTATTTTGTGACTTGTTGCAGCAGCGCGTGGTAG